CACCCGGCGCCGCCTCTGTGTTCTCAGGGCATCAGTCCTGACATACGGCAAACTGTCTGCACGACCTGGACGCTTTGGGAAAGAAAGAAAAGGAAATCATAAGTAATTTCTGCATCTGGGTAAGACAGACCGCCTCGAAGAACCTGGGTCCCTCGCAGAATGGACACCTCGCTGGCACCGCGGCGCGCTAACGTGCGGCGCACCTGGCGCTGTGCGCGTGTCTGCCAGGTAACCGAACACCTTGGCAGCCGCACACCCATGCGGCACCCTCGCCCACGCTTGCCCGGCAGCCCCGGCGCCCCCTGCGGTCTGTCCCGCGGGGATTCCGAGTCCCCGCCGCGCCGCGCGGCCCCGTGTCTGCCGGGAAGGCACGCCCGCACAGCCGGGGGCCGGAGGGGGGTCGCTCGCCCGCGTGCGCGGCCTCGCGGGGAAACCTGCCCTGAGGCGCGTTGCAGTGTTCAGCCGCCGCCTGCCGCGACCTCAGCGTCCGCCTCCTCCGCTGCCCCGCAGCGCGGCTCCGGGCGGCCGAGTCCACACGGACACACCGCGGGCCAGTCGCTCACCGCCGGAGCTTAAACTGACACCCGGTGACGCCGCCGCGTCTGCCGAGTCCCAGGCAAGGTCGGTGTGAAATCGGGGAAGGGGCTTCACCTCCCCGCGCGCCCCCACGGCCGCACCTCACTGCCGGCTCCTGGGGGCCGTTTCTCCTCTGGGCGGCTCCGTGGCAAGGAGCGCGACCGTCCTCACCGACTCCCCTGTGCTCGCTCCTCGAGAAGTGAAAAGCTCGGAAGGGACTTGGGGCCGGCACTGCCCTGCGCGGCCGCCCCGCTCCCTCCGCGCCGGTCCCTCGGCCGTTTGGAACTCAGCGCGGGAGCCGCCCCCGCACATCCCTCCGCCCGCGGAGCTGTCACTGCGCCACCCGCTGCTCTAACCCCCTGCAGGGCCCCAACCCTTATTCCCCGCGGCCACACACGGCAGAGGCATTCGCCGGACCTCGGCGGGTGCTCCAAGCCGAGCACCCGCTGCAAACACTCCATTCGAACCCTGTACAGGGAACTGCATGATGAGCGCATGCGACTGACCTGAAAACGACCTGCCGCCATGGAGACGACCCAGACCACGGCCCGGCCCCCAAAGTGAACGCCACCGACGTGCGGGAGGGAACCGTGTCCCGCGGTCCAGCTCACAGCTGCGCGATGTGGCCGGTGGTGGGCCCGAGTCACGCGCAGCCACCCCACAGCGGCCCTCGGCCGCCGCTGTCCCCAGGCTCAGGGAGCCTCTGTCACGGCCGGAACCCAAGAGAGAGTCAGAAGTTCACGGGCACGCAGCGACTGTCTCGTGTTGTGTTTGCAAACACGCGGACACGAGCCCCATGGGATACGGGGGAAACACTTAAAATCTTCCCACCCTCGTTTTCATGCGCAAATCACTTCACAGTTGCTCCGCTCTCACCGTCGAGGGGAGATAGAGCCCATCTGAAAAACTCAAACAGCCCCGCACGCCCCACCCGCTGGCGGGCTCGTTGTTTCGTGGCCCCCGCAGTTTGCACAGCTGCGCCTGTCCCGCTGCGTCGCTCCTGCAGAACCAGCTCCTTCCTGGGAAGTCCAACCACCCTGAGCGGCCGAGTGGCTGCTTCCCGACGGACGGAGACAGATGCTGGGAGGAGGCCAGCGCAGACGCGGAACCCCGGCCGGGGCGCAGCCCACGTGAGGGGGTTCATGAGGCTCGCTTGCCTCAGCCTCCTTCCCCCAAACGAGACCTTTCCGAGGGACGCCACCGATAGCCGGGACTGGCCGGCGGGTGGCCGGGGCCGAGCGGCTCCAGCTTCCCCGAGGCTCACCTCACCTCCCGTCCTCGGGAAGTGACAGCCGTGCCTGCGTCGTGTTCACGGGAGGGCGTCTCTGGCGTGCTGGCAGCCCTGGCGACGCAGGAGCGCACTCGGGTCTCGAGACACGTCGCTTGTGCTCGTGGCGCTCCGTACCCACGACTCCAGGTCCCCGCCCACCGACTTCGCAGAGGAAAACCACCGACGAGATCTCTGTGGCCTAGAGAGAAACACCACCCAAACAACCTGACAGCTAACGTTAGTCCAGAAAAGAGCCAGCCGCGATGACGTGTTTGCGGAGAAGGCCCCGGCCCTAAAAATGTGTCTAAACCATGCGGCACGAGGCCCGTTCAGGGCTGCAGGTGCCCAGCGTCCGGCGTCCCCACCTGGACTGGCCGCAGCCGGTTCAGATGCCACGGAGCCAGTTTCCATGGAGACCAGGTGCCCTGGCCTGTCAAGGAACCTCTCAGGGGTGGGTGTGGAGCAGGAGGGACTGGGGTGTCACCTCAGCAGCCATCCCAGGAGGTGGTACTGGGTTCGCCAGAGACCCCGACGCCCGTCCCCAAGTCCCCGCCTCAAGCCCTCCTGCACGGGGCCCCCACGTCCCCGCTCACCCACCTGCGGCTCCCCAGCGGCCCCCCAGGGAGGGGGCAGCCAGAGGCACGTGCAGGCTCCACCTCCAAGCACAGGGGGAGCTCGGGGTCGAGGCTGAGTGTCTCGGAGCTGAGAGGCGTGTGCACGTGTGTGCGCGTGTGTGCACGCAAGTTTGTGCCATGTCTGCGTGGACGGCTCCCGGGCCGTGTTCCTCCACGGCAGACATGCGTCACCTGCCCAGCTCAGGGCTTTCCTGGGAGAACAGAAGCACCACGGCAGCACCACGGCAGCACCACGGCAACCCGCAGCGTCGCCCCGCAGTGCACCCCGCTCTGCGTGCGCTCCCCCGGAGTCCTCGCCCTCCCCAGCGGTGGAGAGAGCAAGGAAAGGGCCGCCACCGCGCTGGCCGTGGGGAAGCGGCCCCATCTGACCCCCAGGCCGCGTCTGACGCCACGCCCCTCGCCGCGTCTGCCCCGTGCGTTCACCCCGGTGACGACGACGACGACGACGACCCCCGGGACCGGGTCCTTCCCCAGAGGAGCAGCTGCGCGCCGAGTGCCGCGGGTAAAACATCGGAAATCGAATGAGCAACCGAACGAAAGCCACGATTTGCCCCGAGCCCAAGCTGATTTTTTGAAATTGTGGTGAAACGCGCACAACGTGCGGTCCCCGCAACACCAGCGAGGTGAAACCAGACGCCCCTCACGCCCACCAGGCCCGCCAGCCCCCAAACGCGGGAGCCACACCCACCGCGGCAGCGTCTGGAGAAACTGCCCCTCGTGCCCCAGGGGACCGGGCGGCCCTGGGCGCGTCAGACGACCTTGTGTGGTAGAATCTGGAAGTCCCAAATCTCTCCTTTCTGGACGAACTTGTGTACTCTTCACAGCTGCAATCCAGCCCAACCTTCTCTCCGCACATTTGACTCAATTTCTTCCCCTTTCTGTCCCTCATGTCTCAGCCTCGCTCCCCCAGCTGACGTCAGGTGAGACACCCCAAACGTGAAGCGTGTTTGGGGACACCGCCCACACACGCCCTCGGCGGGCACGTCTCGGCGGAGGCGGCGCGCCCGGTCCCAGAAGGTGAGCGCCTGCATCCTTGTGAACAGCAAATAAAGCATCTCCATTTGTCAATATTTCCCCTGTTAACTTGAAACTCCCTGCAAAAGAAACTGCCTAAAAATAGAGAGGAACTCATTTCAATATTTAAACTCCACTTAGGTTCCCAGAGAACAGCACGTAACGTCTAATTAACCGTGTCATTACTTCTGGCGCTCCGCAGCCTCGGCGCGGTGACTCAGCCGAAAGGCTGGGAGGCTCGCTCTCCCTCCTGGCGCCGACGGGCGCCGTCCGAGAGGTCTTTGTTTATTTGCCTGTGTGCTGTTCGTTTCTTTCCGCCACCGACCGAAACTTTCGGAAAATAGGAAGAGGCTCAGAAACAGGAGCCAGCTCTGAGCACACTTCCCGGCCAGCAGCGCATGCGCTGACAGTCACACGGAGAAATAACCGGGCGAAGGAACCGTTCCACGGACTTTCTGAAACAGTGATGTCAGGATGTCCTCCGTCCACGTTCGTGAGTTAGAAACACGGAGGACATTACCTCCCGCAAACCTCCGTGCCTCGTGGCGGAAGGCAAAGCACAAACCGCCACCATGGCAGCCGGGCCCGGGGCGAAGGCGCCGACGGGGAAGGTGGAGAAAGCCCCAACCAGCCCCTTCCCACGGTCACGGAGGAGCCCATGACGCCTCAGCTCCTGACGGCCGGGGGCACCGTGAGAAGCTAGCCCCTCCGTCTGACCCCACCGGGGGGTCCTGGTGCCCAGACCCCCGGTTCTCGGAGTGACCGCTGCAGAAAGAGACACACACTCCAGCTCTCCCTGGGACTCACTGTTTCTCGGGTGGAAACGCACTAAATCAGAAACCCCATCCGGGAGGGGAGTGAAGACGCCGACCCACAGGCACCAGGCGCCAGACTGGTTCCCCTTAAGACAAAGTTCCCTGTTTCTCCATTTTGGTTTTTTACTTTTACTCCTCCACCGAGTCCCCTTGAACGCAACAGAAACTGCAGCACATCCCTGACAGCCTCCGGCCGCACGCGGTGACCTGCGGTGACAGGCGACGCCGGCCCGGTCCCCACCTCAGGACGCTGCCAAGTCTCACTGAGATCCTGAGGGTTTGCGATGAGACATCGGCGTCCCTGTCCTGACTGCAGGGGAGCCTGGGGGGGGGGGGCCACAGACACCCAGTGCGTTCCGGGCTGGCCAGTGAAGGCCCTTTCCCCTAATAAATCAGGATAATCGACCACGACAGAAAAACAGCTTCGAAACGAAGGTATTTGACCTCGTGAGACGGTCACTTTCCCTCTAAATAAACCTAGGCCGACAACCACGCGAACCAGTGGCCTTTGCCCGATGAACTCGGGTCTCCGAGCTCAGCCCACACTCGCTGTCGAATGGACCAGCCCGCGCGCTGGCCCCCCCGGGAGCGTGCGGCCGGCACACGACCAGCGCCAGACGACCCGGCCGCCCGCGCCACGCCCCGCAGGGCCCGCTCTCGCAGGACGCGGGGGAGGGGCGGCGTGCTCACCTGTGTTCCTGTCGGGGGAGAGGCAGCAGTGCTTCTGCAGGATGCCGGGCAGGACCTGCGCCAACACAAAACACAGGTGGTTACGCCCGGGCCCCGACGCGCACCCCGCCGTCTGCACGTCCGCGAGCCGACCCGCGGCAGCCCCAGCGCGAACCGAAGACCCTGCGGACGTGCGTCTCCCAGCGGCGGTCGGCCAGGGGCATGGCCGATGGCACCTGAGCGCTGCCCTGGTCCCCCGGGAGCCTCGTGGGCCAGCACGGCGGGGACGCACCCCCCCCCCCCGGCAAACGGGCCCACAGGTGGCTGTGACGGCCTCAGGAGACAGAGCGCGGCGACCGTGGGCCCGGGCTGGGAGTGCGCGAGGCACGGTGGGTGTGCTTCTGTCCTCGTCACTAACCAACCGCCGCCTCCTCCACTGGGGCAACCCTGAGCCCGTGTTCCCCCGGCCCTGGGTCGGAGGCCACCACCCAGCTGCACGCTGACCAGCTGCACGCTGACCAGCACGGCCTCTGACCGACCCCCACTCCCTCCAGAACCGGAGAGCTAGCCTCCACCCGCCCCGCCCCACCCCCCAAGCCGGAGCAGGTCCTCGTCTGTGAGAAACTCACACGACTGAGAGAAAACCTCGCCCCCCAGAGGCCTCCCCACTCAGCCCCGTGGGGCGGACCCCCGCGCCGAGCCCCCACTGGTTCGCTGCAGACACTGTCTACGTGTTTCCAATGTCACGCGTGTAGTGGAGACTCCCCGCTGGGGACGGCCGCAGTCAGAGGGGCCCCACGTGGGCAGACACCCAGGCCGACAGGCGGGAGGACAAGAGGAGAAGAAACGGACACCCGGCAGGAAAGGAAAACGTTCTGGAATGATGACACTATTTCAGAAAGAGCCGGTATTTCACCCATAGCTCAGGAAGAGGATGTTTTGGTTATAAAAAGAAAACTGATAAAGTAGAAAGCTTTGGGAAATCACAAACAGAAGAACAAAACTTAAAAGAACAAAGAGTTGAAAATGAATTCAAGGCAATATCCCAGGAAGCAGATGAAAACCACAGAGTTGGGGGGGGCAGGGGGGGACTTAGCATTCCGTCGCCACCCCGGGGTATTCTGGGAGACCGGTTGGGGGGGTCCGAGGAAAACACCCACAGACCAAAGGGCACACGGTGCCACACAAACAGGGAGTCCCGCGTCCGAGGGGCGGGACCTCTGCTCCCGCTGGCCCTGGGCAGCCAGCACCACCCGGACCCGACGACCGGCCGCCACGCGCTCCCGTGGAAATCCGGGCTCCAGCAGGGTTTCCCACGTGACCACAGGACGGGGTGCTGAGCTGAGAAGTCGGGGAGCCATGCTGCGGGCGCTCTGAGAGCAAATGCGGCCCCGGGCGCCAGCCACCAGGGAGAGGAAACTCCCTCAGACACTGCGGAGCAGAGCCCCCACCTCCGGGAGGGCCCGCCCCCTTCCCGGTGCTGTCGCGGAGACGGGCGGTGTCCCCGAGAAGACACCCCGAGGCTGCAGTAGGGGGCCTTCTGGGGCGGGGGGGGCGGCGGTGCTCAGACCGGCTGGCAGGGTCCCAGCCCGGCGCCTGGGCTGCCGGCCAGTGGGCACAGGGTGGGCCGCCGGGGGAGGGCCGCGTCCCCAGAGCGGAGGGCCCGGGGCCGACCGTCTGGAGCAGAGGCAGGACGGTGGCGAAGACGCCGGGACTGATCCGGGCTGGCGTTCCGAGGAAGCAGTTGACGGCTAGTGACACGTGTGTGACAGGAGAGAGGCCGGGGCCGTGAGCTCCCTGTGGTGCGTCCGTCCCGTCGGCTGCCAACTGGTCCCACCTCTGGGTGCGGCCGAGCTGAGCGTGCGGGGGCCGGGGTGCTGGGGGGCCGAGGGGACGGGGGGGCACTGGGGGGGCAGGCCGAGGACGGCAGACGGGGCCTCTGGGCAGCAGGGCGGGCAGGGGGCCGGGGGCTGACCCTGCCGTCTGCCGAAGACTCTTCGAGCCACTCCCCTTTTCCGAGTGCAGACGTGAGCGGATCACACGTGTGCAGATCACACGTGTACGGATCACACGGAATGGAAACTGACTCATGCGACAATGTATGGCACGTCAGCACGATCAGTTTTACAACCATGAGGAGGCAGAACTAAACTGTGCCAAGAATATTTAAAAGGAGCAAGACAGCCGTTTGGAAGGAAAGCGTCTCCCCTCGATGTCTCTGCAGCTTCCTCATCCCAGCGCAGACGTGTCTGGGGACTCACGGTCTGGACCCCCTACTCAGAAGGCCACCCCGGGAGCAGCAGCTCTGGGCAGGGAGCTGGAACGCCCCCCCCCCCGCCCCCCGCTCCGGTCACAGAGGGCCACAGCACCAGCAGGTGTGGGTGAGGCAGAGGCACCGATTTAAACCCCAGCCACGGAGCCCGGGTACAGCAGGACAGCCAGACAGATCGGCGAGCAGACTGGGGACCCCGGACACGCACCCACATACATGCGGTCCACGGTCACTGGCCACGGAGCAAAGGCAGCCGCTTCAACACTAGGTGCTGGGACCTCGTGCAAAAACTCGAATCGCACACTCAGGTCTTACACTCTGCACAAAACTGACTCACAGTGGATCACAGACCTCAGGGAAAAACACAAAATACTGTATCACCCTGTCAGGTGACACAGGAGAAACCCACACGGCCTTGGTGCGGCGATGACGTCTCAGGTACACGACCAAACACATGACCCACGAAAGACATCTGTCGGCCGGACTCCGTCAGAATTGAAACTCTCAACTCCACAAACAGCGCCATCAAGAGAAGGGGAAGACAAGACAAGGAAGGGATTATTTACAAAAGACACATCTGATGAAGGACTCTCAAACCTCAACAAAAAAGAAAAAGCAACTAGTTTCACTTAAAAACTGAGCCAAAGACGGTGCCAGACGCTTCACCAAAGAGGAAGGGAGCACCTGAAGGTGTCCAGCCTCACGTGTCACCAGGGAAACGCAAACGAAAACCACAGCGAGGCCACAACACCCCCGTCGGGACGACCGACAGCCGGCACTGACCACACCCTGGGAGGGAGGACGCGGGGCGGCAGGACTCGCACTCGGTCCCGGCGGGAGCGCAGACAGGCAGCCGGCTGGGAGGACTGCTGGCGGTTCCCACAAGCTAACCCTCATCTCACCGTAGGGCCCAGCAGTGAGGCTTTGCAGCGAAATGAGGGGAGAACCACGTCCCCACAGAGACCCGCACACGGGTGTGCACGGCAGCTGCACCCGGAGCGACCACAGCTCGGACACAACCAGACGCCCGTCAGTGGGTGCCGGACAGACAAACCGCGGTCCCCCCAGACAGCGGGACGGTGTCGGCACTGAGAACAGGGCAGCTCTCGAGCCGGGGAGAGCCGTGGGGGAACCTGACACGCGTGTGACCCAGTGAAGGAGCCGGTCTGGGAAGGCCACACGCCGTGTGAGCCCAGCCCCAGGACGTCCTGGAGAAGGTGAGACTGTGGGGACGGGGACAGGTCGGGGGTTGTCACGGGGCCGGGGGGAAACGGACAGCCCACAGCATGGAGCATGGGGCTCGCCACGTCACAGCAACGCTGCTGGTCTGACGCTGCGACGGTGGTGGGTGGGGGGCACGTGTCGCTGTGCACTGGCCCCAGCCCACAGCGCGCACAGCGGCCGGCGTGGCCCCGACGTCCCCTGGGGGCTCTGGTGACGCTGACATGGGGGGGGCGCTCGTCGGGGAGCCTGACCTGCGACTCTTCCAGGTGCCCCGGAGGAGCCGTGCGCCCCGGGTCCGAGTGTGGACTGGGAGCCCCACACGCCCGCCGGCTGCACGAGGACGGCTCCCACGGGACGGGCCAGCGCAGACCCGAGGTCCCAGACGCCATCCCATCACAAACGGGTCACGGCCGGGAAGAGTGACCAACGCTCCCGCTCCAGCAGAAGGACCCTTAACTCAGCTTCACGGAAGGTGGGCCGGAGCGGGACAGCAGCAAACCCTGCCCGGCCCCCGGAGCCTGCAGGCCGGCCGGGCACGGACACCCGCTCTCCGGCTCGTCCACGCCGCTGGGGCCGGGCGGCCTGCTCTGCGTCCAGGCTGCGGGAGAGCTCCGGCCCCGCCTGACCAGACGCCGGACTTGTCGGATGCTTTCCCGCAACTGTGGGAAGGGATGGTCTCAGCCGCTCCTCTGGAGCCTTCTTCCTTCTTCTCTGGCTGCTGACGGCACGGATGCGTTAGCTGACTTTCAAGGGCTGAAAACTAATTTTCGAAGCCCGTCCTCATGTTCCTGGATGAAACCTCAGCCACCAGCCACCGTGTCCTCGCTCCGTGGCTCCCTTTCCGTCCCCACACACACGCACGCGGAGCCTGGCCTTCCTCCCCGGCCCCCGGAGCTCCCCCGCGACCCCCGAGGCGCTCAGCCGACAGACACCGTGCGACCCTCCCTGACGAGCGGCTGAGACCGTCCTCGCGGCCCCTCACTGTGCCGCACGCACCCTGCCCCCGGCCGCCCGGGCCAGCCCCCGGCCACGCACATCCGGCAAACTCCTCCGGAGTCCGGGCCAGGCCGCAGCGCGGCATCTGGCGCTGGGCATGCAGGACACGCACTCGGCGGGGAAGCCCGCCCCGGGGAGCAGAGGCCTCACGGGGAAGAAGAGAGACACGTGGCCGGGCCCTGTGGGCTGGAGGCGCCCCTGCCGTTGACGTCCAAACCTACAACCCCGGAGCTCGCGACCTTGTCTGGAGACTCGGCCTTCACAGACATGAAACCGTATGGGGTGGGCTCTGCCAGTGCTGGCGGCCGTCCCAGTAGAAAGGGGGGTGGGCCTGGGCGCAGACAGGTGGGTGCAGGGGCCGAGAGACATCAGGGACTGAGCAAAGACGGCCCGTACAAGGGGGGGCCGGAGCCCACCCCGCTGGCGCCTCCACCTGGGCTGTCCGGCCTCCAGAGCCGTGGGGCGGGCAGCGAGTCTGGGGGAATGACAGGCGACCAGCGCGCCGGACACACGTCTCAGCCACCCGGTCCGAGAAGTGCTGTGCGGTGAGCTCCCAGTCTTGCCGGGAGGCCCTGGGAGGGAAGACCCCCCCGGCGTGGGCGGGCAGCAGCTGCACCCCCGACACGTGACGTCTGCCCGTGCCCCCGCCAAGAGGGATTCTGGATGCTCCTCCCTCACGGGCGGGCCCGGGACCCTGTGCCGCTGACACACAGGACACGAGAGCGAATCCAGCACACGGATCACGGGCGGGAGTGGACAGAGGCCACGGACGGCTGCGGGCGATCGGCTGCGTCCCGCCACGAAGTTAACTCGCGCCTCGGCCGGGCCTCCGAGAGGGTTCTCCGGGGGCGCTCCCCATGCCCGGGGGGCGCTGGCAGCGTGGATTTACGGCCCCCGAGGAGGGACAAGGGTTCGGGAAGGACGATAAGCCCGAGTCCCGGACACGTGCGCTGACAGCCCGGCAGGGTCGGGGGTTATAAGTGCAACACGGTGCAAAACAGAAAGTCCCGCCTGGAACACGGTTAAAAGCTTCCTCGCGCATCTTCCTCCACGTGCCGACAGGCGCTGCCCAGACAGACAAAGCAACACCGCTTTCTCAAAGGAGAGAGGAAGTCACACAAAGTGTCTTCAGAAGGATACAACTGAAATGCCAAGAAAAATATAACTAGGTGACTACTTGTTACTGATTTTCACACATAGAAACAACAGGCAGGTGGGAAGATTTTGTTGCTTCTGGGAAGCACTAATCTGTTCAGAAAGTGAGATTATGTTTTTTAGGTTATCTTCAAAAGCAAAAAAGTGACCGGAAGTCTGGGTGCAACAAGCAGACCCCAAGGAAGCCGGACCCCGAGGGCCACTTGCACTCAGCAGTCCAGCAGGTGGCAACTGTCACAAGAAGGTTTGTTCCAAAATGACGGAGTGGCCAAATCTCCGAAAAGAAGAGCCAGTCCCGTCTCCTAGGAGACGAGCCTCTAAACGGCCGTCCTGTTTACCAAGGACGATTTAAGGGAACAGGCACACAGAGCAGGTCGGTGTGCCACAGACACGCAGGGCACACAAACCTGTCCCTGAGAGAACGCCCCACTCCTGGACTCTCCAGGATTCTGGAACCGCATGAAAACAGGGGCTTGAGGCTCCGGCCACACAAAACCCAGAGCCCAGCTCTCCAGAAGGGACCGGCCAAGCGGCGGTGGTTCCCGTCTGAACCGCAGGGTTGACGGAAGCGGCCCGACGGGACCAGGCACCGACCCCCAGTCCCGAGGGGCACGCACCGTCCCTGAAATCCGAATGCTGGAAAGGTCGCAGAAGTGAACACTCCAGAGTCGTGACAACGTACAAAACTGGAGAACGTAGAGGAAGAAAGAGATGACGGTGCGGGGGCGGGGGGGGGAGGGGGCGGACGTCGGTTTACAGTTGTCCGTAGGGGAGGTAACACAGCGATTCGTGAGTAATCAGTAAGGCAAGAACACACTCTGTTGCACAAGCTCACCCCGGTAAGCCCCCTTCATTCTTTACGTGTGTCGTTAAACGCGTAGCGTTTCACGACGTCTCACGACAGCGGGGTGTTACCAGGGCCGTGACCACTGCGGTGTTCTTGCCTGTGTCTGTCAGTAACCTCAGACCTCAGAGCCTAAGAAAATCCGCTGTGTGAAAACAGGGAATTAAATTAAATGCCCGAACACTCTTCAGTCGGTATGTAAGTGGTTAGGGAACCTTTGGTCACGAAACCCACGATGCAGAAATTAGCCGTGCAGACGGCGTGCACGTGTGTGAGGAAGGTTCGCTGCTAGAGGCTCCGAGGAAGATGATTTATTCCACGGAGACACGGCCTCCGTCCAGGGTGAGCAGAAGATGGACCGAGGGAACGCCCCCCCCACCCCCCGCCACCGCAGACAAAACGAGGACCCGCGAGGCACCGTGAGGCCCTGCTTCCCGACCCGCCGTCGGCACCCGCATGTGAGTCCTGGGTTCGAGCGCCGAGGAGCCAGCACGGGCCCAAGGGGACGTCTCAAAGTGGGGCTCCCGGGAGTGGGGGTGAGGGGGGTGCTGGTCTCCCCAGGACTGGTGCACAGCCCCCGGCCCCCCCAGGAGTGGTGCGGGAGATGCCTTTCCAGGGGGGTCTGGAGGGTGGACGCGTCCGGCTGGAGCTCAGGGGAGGGGCCGTCCAGACCCGCTCCGCCGTGTGTTTCTGCCACGCTCTGTCCCACTTGGAACTCTAACGTCCAGGCGCTGACTCTGTTACGAGGCAGACCGGGGCGGGCGACGGGGTACCGGCCGAGGACACGGGCCAGCCTGTGGGGCGCCCCCACCTGCACACGGGGGCACACTCAGCGCAGGTCCCGCATGGGAGCCCTTTGAGGGGCGCGGTGAGACCCCCAGAGTGCCGTCGGGGCGCTCGCCCGGGACGTTGGGTCCATTCGGTCCCCCAGCCTGGGCAGCGGCCACCACCTGGGACACTGACCCCCAGGTTCCCGAGGTCCCAGTCCACAGCCCAAGCCACAACCACCAACAGGTGACCCCTCCACCCACAGAAGCCACCCCAAGTGCTCGCTGCCATGCTTCACCCTGCGGCCACCGGCTCCCCCGGCACAGTGACCACTGGACCACAGAAGGGAGGAGGAGAAGACAGCCTACCTGAGCAGTCCCCATGCTGGCTGAGGGCGCGGGCCGAGGGCGGTCACTGGCGGCCACTGGGACGTGGGCAGCTACGGCCGAGCCTCAGACCAGGGAAAGGCCTAGGACAGGGAACAAACAGAAATGGGGAAAAGATTATTTTATTTTTTAAAAGATTGTATTCATTTATTTTTAAAGAGAAGGGGAGGGAAGGAGAAAGAGAGGGAGAGACACGTCAATGTGTGGCTGCCTCTCACAGGCCCCTGCTGGGGACCTGGCCCACAACCCAGGCGTGTGCCCTGACTGGGAATCGAATGAGTAACCGTTTGGTTTGCAGGCCGGCACTCAATCCACTGAGCCACAGCAGCCGGGGCAGGAACAGGTGATCTTTAAAAAGGGTCAGCAACCTCCCTCAGGGGAAGACACAAATGTGCACAGAAAACATGGCCCTGGGCGACAGTTAAATCCGTCGAGGGCGGCGATGGGCCTCGGGGTCTGGACCTGGCAGGTAACACCACGCACGCCGGGGAAAACACCTCAGAACAGGGGCCCCTACCTCACAGTGTGCAGCCCGATAGAAACAATGAAACACCCTGACTCGAGGCCAGGACCCCTCGTGGAACCCGGCGGACGCCCTGTGTGTGACCAGAGGCCAGCTCTGCAGAGGACCGACCGGGCAGAGGGCCGGGACGCGGGAGGGCAGTTGGAGGAGCTCACGACCGGTCGGTCGAGGCTGCACCTGGAGAAAACCGACTGTGGCTTTAAAAAAAAACAGAGGCCGTAGTCGGACCCTTCGATAAACCAGGAAATCCACTGCCCCTTTTGGCCGCCGCGTGCGAGTGCCAGACATCCCCGCCGCCCCCCGCCCCAGGACGAGGGGGGTGAGCGGGACACGGGGTTTGGACAGACTCGTCTGCAGCATCGCGCTGGGAGCTGCCCCCCCACCCCCCCCACCCCGCCGTGTCCCTGAGCCTCGGCGGCAGCAGCGTGCCCCGTGCGTGGCCCTCCGGAGCTCCGGCCGGGCTACACTACGCGGATGCTCCCCGAGGTGGGAAGGGCGGCGTGCTGCGCCCCCCGCCGTCCCCAAGTCTTGCCTTGCCGCCACAGTCTCTGCCCGCGCGCCGGGGTGACCCCCGTCACTCAGCGCCACCTGCGCACGTTCCCGCCGCTTCCTGAGAAGTTTGTCCGGTTCTCGTTCGCACGAGCGAGCGCGGTGGGCAAACGCGGGTTCTGACGTGACCCACGGGCTGGAAAGCAGGCGTGGTTTCCAGCGACCGGAAGCACACGGCTGTGCGGCCGTCCCTCCAAACGGGGTGTTTGCGGCACGGCCAGACAGGCAGACGGCTCCTCGGGCTCCGGCACGGCCCACAGCCAGACCTCCCCCCTCGGCCGGACGGAACTCCGTCCCGAACACCCACCGTGGGCCTGCAGCCCCCGCCGCCTGGCACTTGGGTTCCCCCCGTTTCCCGGGGGCCCCGCGGGCAGGCTCTAAGGCTGGGGCGACTGGGCCACGGGACGCGCACACCCGCGGCCCCAACGGCCGCCCCAAAGGTTTTGCCGATTTGCACATCACACATTACCAACTCTCGGGTTTGCCTCTGCTGGAAAAGGTTCCTCCCTGTGCTCATGGAGCTGAACCGGCTTTTGACGGGACGACTCCCAGTGGGTGCGTCTGCTCGGCTGCCCGTCCGTCCCAGCGTTTGGCCGGCCCCTCCGGGGATGAGCTCCAAAGCCCCCACTGGGGCCTGTGCCTCGGCTCCAGGCCTCCGCTCCCCAGGGTCTGAACCTCCTCTCCCTCTGTCGCCGCCTGCCGCCTTCGCCGTGGCCGTTGGCACGAGTGCCGCGGGCTCCACGCAGGGCACGGGCCCCGGTCGTGCTCTCGTTCCCGGCTCCCGTGAGCGCCGCTCGTGCGACCGCGAGCCCTGGGTTCAGGCGGTGACCCCGCCCGGCACAGCCTCCATGCGTGCCCGTGTCTGCCGGCGCACGGTGAGGCTCCCGCGCCGCGTCTCAAGCAGCAGCTCCCCCACGGGCGAGAAGCCCCTTCGCCGTTGCGCCCTCGTTGGGTTCTCCCAGCCCCCAGGGCCGGCGGTCCCGCCCTCGGCCTGGCTTCCCCGGGGAGGGGTTCGTGGGTTCACGCATGTGCTCCGACGGACCAGCCGCCGCCCGTCTTCGCCGACTCCGGAGTCTCACGGCCCCTCCGCAGCCCCGGGCGCCAGGGTGCGGGGTGGATTCGTCCGGCTCCTTTTCGACCCCTGCCCCGTGACCGCCACCTCCTGTGCAGCCGCCACAGACTCCACAGAGATGTCACGTCACGGGCGTCCCGTCCTCCGCCACAGAAACCAGCGGCCGAACTGCCCTCCCCAACGCACTGCCCGTCCCTCCTGCCCTGGACGGTCCCTCCACCGCTCAGCTACCCTCTCCAGAGCCGGCGATGGCGGCGTGATCCGAGGGCCAGGCCGGAGCGAGGTGGGGGAGGGGGGTCGCGCCCACCGTCCTTCACAGGCGGCCGTCCACGTTCGAGACTCTCACAGGACAGGTGCACAACACACCGCCAGGCGGCCCTCACGGCGGAGAGCCCACGGCTCGCATCCTGTGCGGCCTCCAGCCGGGCGGCCTCTCGGCAGGGCTCACACTTGCAGCCGTGCTGGTGAGCCAGCCCCGCACAGCCCGGCCTCTGGCTCCGGCGATGCCGACGCAGGTGTGGACGCGCACCCCGAGGGCGGTTTCCTCGCGGAACCGTGACTGACGCCGGGTGGGGGGGGGTCTGGTGGCACCGCGAGCCGGCGTTCTCTCGGAACGCGACCCCTCGGCCACTTGGAGTTTGGCGGCGGCCATGAATGAACCAGCTCGGACTCGCCGAGGGGTGAAGGGACCCCGGCCGGCTCGGGTGTGAGCCAGAGCCTCCGGCCGGCTGGACGCCGCGGCTCTGTGGTGCCGGGCACCTGGCTGAGCCCCACCTCCACCTGTGCCCTGTGACCTCGGTGCCCCCAAGCCGACTGCACCTCACGGGGGCAGGAGGGCTGCCTGAGTCAGGTCCCCGCGTGGCAGGAACACGAAGCCGCGGCCCTCAGTGGCGCTGGCTGCCCGCGGCATCCCCGGGCGGCCCAGGACGGGGGGCGGGAGGTGGAGGCGCCGTGCACACTGCGACCACATCAGCGTCCTCCCCCACAGAGTGGGGGCCTGAGTGTGGGCGGCAGCCCCCCACTGCCCTTCGGCCGCCGTCCAAGCCCAGGGCTCCAGCCCGCCCCGCCCCGTGTGCTCACGTGTGGGAGAGGGCGGCCCGTCCGGCGGCCCCGTCCAGACGCCGCTGTGGACCGAAGGTCCCCGTCAGGGTTCGCTCTTACGTCTAAACACGTGTCGCTAAGTAACACGCCTGCATCCCGGGGCCCTGGAGACGTCCCGCGGGAGTGAGCGGGGCCCCGTTCACACGGTGAGACGGCCTGCGGCCGGCGCTGCTCAGAAGCCGCCCGTGGCCACGCCCTCAGTGTCAGAGGTCATCGGGAAGCGAACTGAACCAGGAAAGTCACGACACCGTTTCAGAGCGGACCGTCCTGTGGAAAACAGGAACAAATCGGCTTCGAGAACAAAGGTTTTGGAAAGCTGTGGTGTGGCACGCGACGCAAGAAAGATCGCAGAGAAACAATGGACAGCATCAGGAGGCTTCACGCGCAGGACGCGCCTGGAGACCCGCAGGACACTCCTGGACACCCGCAGGTGGGGCAACGGGTGAAACCCGGGTGCCGACAGCCTCGTGTCCGAGCTTTCCCGCTCGCCGCAGCGCCCAGAGCCTGCAGCCGGCGACGGCGTGCCCCCGTAAGCTGCTCTGCGTTGGGCTCAGCACCGTAACTAGCGGCTGAGAAGACCATAAACAGCACTTTGGTAGAGCGTGCACTCTGAGCAATATGGGACCGTCGAGCGTGGTGAGAGTCACTGACGCCGGGGGACGCGAGGGACAGTCTCAGGTCACAGACACAGGCGCCCAGGTCGGCATGGGCGGGCGGCTGCGCGAGGGCTCCTGCCCACAGCCCACCACCCGCCCAGCGAACGGAGCGGGGACCCACCACCCCCCTGGCGAGTCGGGCGGGCAGCAGAACAGCCCCGCCCACGGCGTCGGCCACAGAGTGGAACACGGCCCATGCGTGTGCGGGCACCACGGTGCTTCCACCCTCTGCCGGGGTGCCGGCTGTCGACGGACGGCCACACGGTCTCTCCACCCGGAGCGGAGGCTCACGTGAAAACAGCTCGATGTTTTGCTGATTCCAGTCAAGTCACACATGTGGTGAGACGTGTCCTAACTCACACCAGGAAGAAGGAACTTTGTCCAGGACCCTACACCTTCTCCCCAGCGTGACGGCACCAAGTAACCACTTTCAAGCCGACGGGCTCCGGCTGCGGGAGAAGGGAACCGGAAGGGCCGGACGTGCAGGGAGGGCCACAGACACGCACACAGACATACACACACAGACACGTGCAGACACACAGACACAGACACACAGACAGACACGTGCAGGCACACACAGACGTGCAGGCACACAGACACACAGACACGTGCAGACACACGGACAGACACATGAAGACACAGACAGACATGTGCAGACACGCAGACACACACAGACACATGAAGACACACACAGACATGTGCAGACACACAGACAGGCACGTGCAGACACGCAGAGACACACGCACAGACACGCACAGGCACGCACCCTGCACAGCCCTGCGAGACACAACCTGCACTCTCACTCTCAGCGCAGCGGCCGACCGGAAGGAGGGCGTGAAACCCAGTCCGAAGGTCAGCGGGCACAGGTTCGAGCGGGGAGAGAGCGCCTCTCGTGAACACGGTCGAGTGTGAGCCGCTCTGTGCACTTTGATTACAGGTGTTTCCATAGTAACCGGTGGCCGAGGGCCACGTGGTGTGGTCGGCGCTGCTCACGAAACAGAAGTAGAAGCCCTAATTGGATGTGAAGGGCCCCACACGGCTCCGCACTGGGTGCAGATGTCATTATTGGGTAAATGAGTGACTTCTCTCCAAGAGGCGTCGTCACCGCGCTGTGCAAGGCGGAGGGCTGGCCGAGTGTCTAGAGCACAGGGCAGGGCGGGTCCCCAGCGGGCAGGCCACTGC